GAGCTGGGAAGGAAGCATGGTCTTGTGGACAATGGCAAGAGGCTGGTGTGAGCTAATCATTTCAGGGCACTCGGAAGGCTGTCATCTGAGGACAGAGTTTTTTGTGGTGTTTTTACACAGGGTGAAAGGATTTGGACTTCAGCTTTTACATTTATTTTCCTTTAATTTCTCTGCTTTTTTTTGTAGTTTTATAGTATATATTATATGTATATAGTAGTAAATGTCTAATTTTTTAAAAGATAATTTATTTACTTTTGGCTGCATTGGGTCTTCATTGCTGCTTACGGTCTTTCTCTAGTTGTGGCGAGCGGGGGCTACTCTTCGTTGTGGTACGCAGGCTTCTCATTGTGGTGGCTTCTCTTGTTGCGATGCACGGGCTCTAGTTGCGTGGGCTCTAGCAGTTGTGGCCCTTGGGCTTAGCTGCTCCGCGGCATGTGGGATCTTCCCGGACCAGGGATTGAAACTGTGTCCCCTGCACTGGCAGGCAGATTTCTAACCACTGCACCACCAGGGAAGCCCTAAATGTCTAATTTATAAAAAGATATAAATGTACATATTATGCATGCTCAAAAAATATGTTTAACAACAGTGACACCAAATTTTAAAAACACTGTTTTAAAAGATGAAACTCAGGATCAGGAATGACATGACAGCCCTGTGGGAGGAGCACACCCTCCAGCATCTCTTTGGAGGATGAAACAGTCAGGGAGGAAGACCAGAGGCTAGGAGATGTACTGGGAGGTCTTTGGGAGTTACGGGTTCACATGATTTCCCTAGCAGGAGCTGACTTGTAGCTGGGTCAGCCCTGTTGCAGCATTTCAAAGAGATAGTTAAGCCTGTAACAGTTAAAAATAAAACCTGGGGTAGCCTTAAGGGGCTACATGACACCTTCAGAAGCCTGTTCCTCCCAGTGGCTGTCACACAAGCCAGAGTGCATCTTCCTTCCACTTTCCAGGGCGACCTTGTGGAGGGCGCCCTCAAAGGAGTTTCTGGAAGCCTGGTCCTGAGCATGGTAATGAAAGTGAGCTGCAGCCATGAATTATGTGAAGTTTGAGGGAAGCCATATAAAAGGCTATATCAGGCCACAAATCAGCTTGGATGGCTAAGGGTGATTTGTTCGGCTCCGGCCGCCCCTGCCGCTTTCTGGCAAGGCCCTCTGTGGGGCATGCCACCAGCCATTCTTCCCAGGCCATTCTTTCCATGGCCCCTGAAGCTGTACACCTGCAAAGACTTCTGCCTAGCACCTGCAGAAGTCTCCTTGCAAGGCGCTTATCCAGCTGGTGCTAGAATGTGGCTGCATCGTACCCTGCCTACCGTCCTGGTGACAGTTCCTGCTTTGGGGTGATTATAGCACAGGCCCTCTTCCTTAGAACTGAGTGCTATTTGCCTGTGCTGCTGGTGGAGGCATAGAGTGGTCTAAATAAAGATTTTGAAAAGATAGAAGCAGCTGACTGCTTTTCTATGGCTGCTGTAACAAAGAAGATTGGGTGGCTTCAACAATAAAAATGTATTTCTTCACACTTTTGGAGTCCAGAAGTCCAAAATCAGGGTGTTGATGGGAGCAGTTTCTCCTGAGACCTCTCTCCTTGGTTTGCAGATGGCTGCCTTCTTGCTGTGATCTCACAGGGTCTTCCTTCTGTGTGTGTCTGTTTGTCCTGATCTCTTCTTCTTATCAGGACACAGGTCAGATAAGATTAGAACCCACCCTAATGGCCTCATTTTAATTAATTACCTTTTTAAAGACCAATAAGGTTACATTGGGGGTTAGGACTTTCAGACCATATAAGGACACCATCCAGCCCCTAAAAGTAGCTAGTTAAAGCTTAAAGATAATCATACTTCCTGCCACTCAGGCCCTGACTCTTCATGTTCCCGTAGTCCCAAACCACTATCATCCACAAGCAAGTGAGGCTGCTCCTGGCTTCCCTGGCTCTGCCTATGCTCTTTCTAGTCCATGAGGTAATAGCACCCTTTCAAACCCAGATCAGATGGAATACCCTCCTGGAAGCTTTCGTAGCCTACCAGAGAGAATGAATGTTCTTTTATTGTAGCGTGTAGCACATAGTATGGCGATTTCTTGGCTGGTGTATCTGTCTGCCTTGTGACAGAATCTTCCTAAACAGTGGGGCAGGGAATCTTGACCTTGCAAGGAGGCTGGCATATATGACCTTTGCAGGAGAGTTTAATGAATACATTAATACAACCAAAGAATATTTGATCCTGGGCCTGCCATTTATTGGCACTGTGAGTTTGGAAATCTTCACAACATTCCTGAAATCTACTCTCTTCCTTCATAAAACAGAGATAACAGCAATACCTACATGTACGGTTATTTTGAATATTAAGTTAATTGTTTTCTTTAAAGAATACTTTCTAAATTATGTTTATAATCATGCAGTAACATTTTCCATGTTTTTTTGTTTGTTTGTTTGTTTGTTTTTTGTGGTACGTGGGCCTCTCACCGCTGTGGCCTCTCCCGTTGCGGAGCACAGGCTCCGGATGTGCAGGCTCAGCGGCCATGGCTCACGGGCCCAGCCGCTCCGCGCCACGTGGGATCTTCCCAGACCGGGGCACGAACCTGTGTCCCCTGCATCGGCAGGCAGACTCTCAACCACTGCGCCACCAGGGAAGCCCTTTTCCATGTTTTTTTCTCAGTTGGGGTTGATAATTATAAAGAGGCTGACAGAACCTAACGATTTTCATTTTAAATGAATTTCCAGGCAATGTATGTAAGAACATGTAGATACGGCCGAAGGTCATCTTATACCCTTGGACATATTAATAATATACTCCTCAAGAAGAAGCATTTTCTTACATAAAGTGGTAAGTGGTGCTTGAAAGCAGAAAGATCAAGAAAATTTTGGAACCAGGCAGCAATCATGGCGTCTCTGCCCTCATGTCAGTAGATGAATCTTGAAGTCTGCCGATCTTCTAAAAGCCAGTAGTTCTGTTCCTGCATCTAAAAACCTGAGCTCTTCGAAAACAATAAATGTAGGAAAACAAGCAAAGCTGTCAAAAAGGATACTGGAAACAGCCAGACTGGCCTGTAAAAGCAAATAATTCTTTGGCTACCACACTCTGGGCCAACAGGGTAAGTAGTTTAGAACCTCTAACCTCTCTGAAAGGTCTCATGACAAAGTGAACTTCCTATTTGTATAGAAGTCACAATTCCAACAGTTTGGGCCATTTGTGTGCCTTACAATAATATAAGTAATCGTGTCACAAAGAGGAATCTGAAATATGTACCTGAGCTAAATTCAGTGAGCGAGGTCTCAAGTGTGAGAGGTACGTTTTATTTGCTGAATGTTGAAAATATAGCCTCAAACTAGATAACGAAGGGGTTTTATTTAGAACAGCGCAGAGTTGATCTCACACATTTATCAAGGGGAATATGCTTGAAGGTTATCCCTATGTTTACCTCAAACTATTAGATTAAAAAATAGTCATTACTGAAAGCTCTCAGATACATAGAATTTTCCAATATAAAATTTCCCAATATAAAAATGTATCTATTAGACTTGTAATTACCACCTCAGAGCATTATTCAAACAATGTAAAAAGTCAATCTCTGCCCCACAGAGATTCCAGCAATCGAGTCTTTGGATGTTGGAAGGGGAAGAGAATTCCAGTATGAAAAATGAAGCATGGAAAATATACTGTCCCTTGAGCCTCAGAGCTAGGGTCTATGATCACCTGTGAGTCTCAGATATAAATTGCCATGACAACCTTTTTCTTATGCATTACCTTGACGTAACCAGGATTCAAACTTAATGGGATTTACAGGTTGAAACCATCACCTCATATTAACCCAGAAATAAATTGCTAGGTAGTGTGGAAAGAGCTTGGCTGTTCAATAGTGAATGCTGTGGTGTCTAAGGCCCTCAACACAATCTCGGTGTGCCAGGCATTGCCCTCCAGAAGCCTGTGTTTCAAGCGTAAGTGTGTCTCAAAATAAACTCTCAGTGTTTGCCTCCGTGAATTGCTGTCACCTACAGCTGGCATGGGACTTGCATGCCTCTGCATATACCCACAGTGCTTACCATTTGCTAACCACGTCCAAGCATTTGACAGGTGTTCTCTCTGCCTCTCACAGAAGCCCTGCAGGAACTTAGCAGCTGAGGAAATTGAGCCCCCGAATGTAAGCACCTTACCCAAGGCCACAGGGCTCAAAGCCAGCTTCTCAAAGGACATTGCATTGCCTTGTCTTCATGGTAAGACTTCCACCTCTGGGGATGTACAAAGAGGTCCCAGGTCTGCTGGATCCCCAGGACCTCTGGGATGTATTCATGTTCAGTGAAACACTTGAGTTTGGTAATGGGGCCCCTCTTGCTGATTTTCTGAAAACTACCAGTTATTTTTTTTATTTTTTAAATTTTTTTGCCTCGCTGCGTGACTTATGGAATCTTAGTTCCCAGACCAGGGGTCGAACCCGAGCCCACTGCAGTGAAAGTGCCGAATCCTAACCACTGGATCGCCAGGGAATTCCCCTACTGGGTTTTGAATCTGTAGGTTTCACCTTCCACTGGTCACATTTTGTTCTGTGCATGAGCTCCTTGCTTCAATCCTGTTTGCTTACCTCTGATCACCGCCCGCACCTGGGTCACCTGCCACCTTCTCCAGGGGCCTCAGGGATGCCTGGTGGGAAGGAAGGATGCTCTTTCCTGTGACCTCATCGTAAGTGTGGATGCAGACCTACCTTCTCATTCTGCTCAGCAATGCGGAGGAGCTACAAAAGTTAACAAAGCTGTACTTAGTAGATGGCTTTAAAAATTAAAAAACAGGGCTTCCCTGGTGGCACAGTGGTTGAGAGTCCGCCTGCTGATGCAGGGGACACGGGTTCGGGCCCCTGTCTGGGAAGATCCCACGTGGTGCGGAGCGGCTGGGCCCGTGGGCCATGGCTGCTGAGCCTGCGCGTCCAGAGCCTGTGCTCCACAACGGGAGAGGCCACAAGGGTGAGAGGCCCGCGTACCGCAAAAAAAAAAAAAAAATGTTTGGGCATATAAGAATACATTTTCTGTTATTTATAAAATTATATTATGAGAGTATTTCTGTATTTGACTGAATAAATGAGGCAGTCTACTGGAAAAGTAAACAAATTGTCTGGACCTATGCAGCTGAAACATCAATTCTGCTCCATTGGTGATATAATTAATGCAATTCTGATTTTTTGATCAGAACAGGAATACAGGAACAGAGGTAACTGGATCTGGGTTCAACATTTGAAATACTATTAAGAATTGATACTGCAATATATTTAGAAGTCTTGCACTTACGGAAAAATCACATAGGACATTTTCACATTGTTCTAGAGTTGCAGCATCTCCCATATAATTTCTGATGAAATAGAAGACGAAGATGTCAAGAAGAGGTCCAAGAGGAGAGAGCACAACCACAGTTGAGCACTTCATAGGTTCAAGGAACTGGGGCTGGGGATCAAGAGTGTGGGTCTCAGGCTCAGGCTGTCTCTCTTTGAGCCCGGCTCTCTCACTCACGAGGTATAACCTGGGCAACTTCCTATGTTCCCTACACCTGAGCTTCCACATCTATGAACTGGGGTGGTAATAACAGTCCCTAATCCCTTGGGTTAGTGTGAGGTTAAATGAGTTAGTGCATGTATAACGCATAGTATGGGGCCTGGAACATAGGAAGCACTCGATAAGCATTAGTTCTTGAGTTCTTAAAATAACCCTGCCTGGTGGGCATTATTTCTCTACTTGATGAATGAAGAAACTGAGACTCAAAGAGATTCAAGAACTTTCCTGGGGTCATGATCTAAGTAGATGGTCTGATAGAGTATCTGTATTATGCACATCTGGAGAAAAGCTATCCAGTCTCTGCCAACATTTATTTTAAAGATTTGTCTTACTCCAAGAGAAGAAGGAGGCCTAAAATCAAAGAACACGTTTGGAAAAACCAATGGTGTGTTTTCACAAATGTTCTTCAGAAGTCCACTTCTTATACTCTGTCTGATAATCAGACTTCATATCTTGGCCATTGTATGTTGAGAGACTCAGAGAAACTACCTGATACTTGTTTTGTAGAACTACATTATATTTGCTTAAATCTTTTAAAAGCTCCACAATAATGAAATCTTTTTCCAATCTAAGCTGTTAGCAATCAGATGTTATGTCAAATCTTTTCTTGGCTCTGATTGTTTTCTGAATCTGGAGTTACAAACTCAAATGATTTCCGGGTCAGAGCCAGCAACCTAAAGGGGTGTGGCAGCAAGGCATAATAGAGGCGGGTGGGGCTTGTGACTTACTTCATAATCTGCTGTGTATGATCACACCGTACTCCTCCAGGCAGACTCACCTTCACATGGTCAGACTGCAGCCACTGGTCTAAAGGAATGGCCCACAACTCTCCTTTTCTGGCTATTATCGAGCTCCTCACCTGCTCCCAGTCCTGAGAACGAGAAAAGAAAAGTGAACTTTGCTTCTCCCTTATTCTGTTCAGCAAGAGAGTCAGATTCAGCAAGCATTTATTTAGCACTTGTGAGGCGCAAGGCCCTGGATTTGGTCTAAAGAGGATGGCAGAGATGAATCCGACAACACTGACAGAAAAATACAAACAGTTCTTCACTCATACGGTTTATTTCTGCATTCAGGTATGCTCACAGAAAACCGGATATGGTGCAGTAAGTACTGTCATACCAGTAAATGGTGGTGAGGGAATTTATGCCCAACATAAGTGTCCTCTGAACCAAGAGCCCTCAGAATTAATATCTGCACTTAGCTGACTTCAGGCTACGTGAGCTGGAGAGGCTCTTAGAGCTCAGAGAAGCATTACTTCGTGGGAGTTGAAACTTCTGTTGCATGACAAATCGCAGCAGGCTTCCCGATCCTCCTCTTCTCCTGGTCACCTGGGTATTATCAGCTCCTTTTCATCCACAGTGGCCAGCTCAGTCCTCACTCTTCACTTAAACTCCGCTTACCCCAGACAGTAGCTTTTCCAGTTGGAGAGGAAACTGTGATGTTTTAAGCAAATCCTTCCTGTTCCTGGGGAGTGTGGCGAGGCCAGGGAGAGACTGTGACCTCTCAGGACTCATCCAGGTGGAAGTTGGAACTTCCTCTCCTAGCTCAAAGTTCTTTTTCCTTTATTCCAACATTTCACATTCTAAACATTTCATTATCTGTATTACTCACTGTGTCACTAAACATGTTGCTTTTTGCTATTTCAAATGTTTAATTGAAAAATGCTTTTTTCCTCATCAAGTAAACTATAAGCCCCTTGAGTACTGAAGCCATATTATACTTCAGGTGTGCTTCTTTGTTTCACCACCTGGCCTCACCACCCTCTTACTAGGTGCTCCTAAGTCAGTTTGGAACTTGAGGGTAACTTTGAATCTTCAACGATGTGAAGCAGTAATTCAAAGAAATGTAACCTCCAAGTCAACATGTGCATATGAAATATTAAAATTATTTGTGTCATTATCTGTAAATCAAACTGAAATAATGACCCAGAGGATAGTAAAACATTAAATATGGTGATATATGTAAATGTACTTTATAAATTCTAGCTCAATGGATGATTATAAGTAGGTATGATGAGATTAAGATAATTTAAAATGAATGGCCATTTTGATTATCTCTTGGGTTCTTGGTTATCTAATGTGAGGAGGGGAAGGATAAGACCAGCAGGTAATACTATGAAAGATCTTTAAAAACAAAAGGAGGGCCTCTTCTCTGAATTAGTAAATTTTAGTAAGAGAAAACTACAAAGATCAACATCTTACAGTGATTCTGTGATGTCCACTGATCCATGCCACTTAAACTGTACACTCTTAACCTCACCTGCGTTTGGGAAATTTGAGTTGATTCATTGAACATTTTGCTTTATAGGGCTGATCACATCATCTAACCTTGAATTCAATAAGACTCAAGGCAATTAAATTCTATTGCAGTTAATTTTTATTTTTAAATCATACTCATATGGTGAGGAAAAATTTAGTCGTAAATGCAATATTTACTTCTTTCTTTCTTGTCCCTTCAAATTAAAAAAAAAAAAAACAACTCATTATTGGCCTAAGATTAGAGACCTGATGATATGTGTTAGCTTAATTCTTCCATCTGTAAAAGAAATTGTGAAAACAGTTTTCATCACTTGATGAAATGAAAGAGACTCTGAATTAGTTGATACAGTGAAAGGCACTGACCACAGAATGAGTGCTTGGGCTCTTCAGAGGTAATTTGTCATACTTTCATCATTAGCAAAGCTTCAGTCTGATCTCATGGGTACCAGAGGAAATGAAGGAGCTGGATTGTGTACACACAGGGTGTCAGAGCCCTAAGGCTGTCCCCAGCCAGTGAATGGGGCTAATGGGATGCTGGTCTCCAAGTGTGGGTACTGTAACAGGGCGGCACTCCTGGCGACATTGTTACCTTCATGGAAGGAGGTACTCGTAGGCTTGCCAATACTGAGTGGGAGAAAAGCCTTCTCTCTTTCATATAAATAGTATTGTGACAAGGCAGAATTGGGCATTGGTTTCAAAACACCAATGCTCAGTTCACTGCAGCACTATTTACAATAGCCAGAACATGGAAGCAACCTAAATGTCCATCAACAGAGGAATGGATAAAGATGTGGTGCATATATACAATGGAATATTACTCAGCCTTAAAAAAGAATGAAATAACACCATTTGCAGCAACATGGATGGACCTAGAGATTGTCATACTGAGTGAACTAAGTCAGAAAGGTAAAGACAAATATCATAGGATATCACTTATATTTGGAATCTTAAAAAAAAGGGTACAAATGAACCTACTTACAAAACAGAAATAGACTCACAGATGTAGAAAAGAAACTTATAGTTACCAGGGGGTAAGGGGGGGAGGGATAAATTGGGAGATTAGGATTGACATATACACACTACTCCATATAAAATAGATAACTAATAAGGACCTACTGTATAGCACAGGGAACTCTACTCAATACTCTGTAATGACCTATATGGGAAAGGAATCTAAAAAAGAGTGGACATATGTATATGTATAACTGATTCATTTTGCTGTACAGCAGCAACTGACACAGCATTGTAAGTCAGCTATACTCCAATAAAAATTAAACAAACAAACAAAACAAAACAGAACAACAACAACAAAAAAACCCAAAAATGCCCAGGCTCCACCCCTAGAACCTGGTATCATTTCTCTGGGGTAGGAACCTGGAATTGTCATGTTAAAGATTGTCTCAGTTGCTTCTAACAGGCAGTCAAGGTGAAGAACCTAAGACTTCTTAAAATTTCCTGATGGGAATAACCTGGTAATTTGTTACTATACAGATTCTTATTTGTCTCACTAGATACATCTGCACTTTAACAAGCTCCCAGCAGATGCCAGAGCTGCTGGTCTGAGGTCCACCCTGGGAGAAGCAAGGATCTATGCTATGCTCTCCAGGATCTGGACTTCTGCTGTTCAGGTTTACCTAGGGTGGTTCATGCCTCAGACACCCCATTTTGCCTTAGCACATATACACTTCAGAGTAACATATAACCAGTTTAATCCTTTATTTATTGATTATGAAAGCATTAATTATCCTTAAAGTAATTATTGTGAACACACTTAAATATGTGTGCTTCTATGGTTAGGGTACTCTAATTCGGTATTTCCAATGTTTCACTGATCATCAAAGTCATCTGGGAGCCTTAAAAATCTAATGGGAATCCTCCCCAACAGTGGAGGGTGGCAGGAGGGAAAGAGAAAATTTTTAACGAAACCCTGCAGGTGATGGTGATTCAGACCTCTTCACTCTGGAAGTTTATAAGCATTTACAAAAGGTAATGAATGAAACAAAATCATCATCTCTTTCACTTTCAGTATATGTTAAAATAATACAACTTGCAACTCACCTGCTACAACCTGTGGGTATGCTATTTTTGTCATACGTTATAAAGGAAATACAATTAAAATACACAAACTACGAATATATCTGTGGCAGTGTCAAAATCCCAGAGTTAAAAAGATGCCAAAACCCTCTTGATGTATAGCCTGAAAAGGAGAAGTGAGAGTTGGGTGCAGGAAAATCATCCCACCCAATACTCCTCTCTCTGTGGGTGTCCAAATATCTCTGCCCCAGTGAAGGGACCATTCTGGCTTCCAGAGGGCAGATCAATCTTGCCGCCATCTTGCTGAGGGAGGAGCTAATCTCCTCAGCAAATTAATTAATCAACCAATCCACTAAATGGGCATAGTTTGCAAAGAACCTCATGTAATTCTCAATTAGGAGAACATTCAGAACAATGAAAGCAAATGGCATTAGTTATTTGTTATCTGGAAAGCCTCCTACTTTAATTCTCCCTCCTCTCTCTCTTTCTCTCTCTCTCCCTGCAGCACAGAATAAGGAGAAGACACGGCTTTAAGTTCCAGCCTATTACCTACGAAACATGGGCGCTAGTCCAGTGAGATGTTTCATTCCTTTATAGTCCCAGCGTCTTCGTAGTTGGTTCTGTTGTGAGAATCAAATGAGTTGCTGGGATTTGAAAGCTGAGAATCCAGAGGTTATCATTTCTTCCTTCCTGGGTCTCCTTGCACCTGGCTCTTCCCTCCATGCTTCAATTTCCACACACAGGCCAGTGGCTTCCCCCTTTATACACTGCTCACCACCTTCCATCTGCACGCACAGGAGAATTAAAACTGATTTTTGAGGATAGTTTCCTAAGGCTGACTCTGGCTATTTTCAGTTATTCCCTGATCATACCACCCCCATCCCTCCCAGTCCTGCCCCCATGAATTTCTCTCTGCTCCTTTTTCCAGCAAACACTGCCTATATTTTGTCTATTTCATCATGTCTTATTTTTATGTATATTATGCCTCACCCACAAATTTATGAGCAACCTGATTTTGGGAATGAAGTTTTCATTACCTTTCTACTCTCACAGTCCCTGGTACAAGGTAGATGCTCTATGCAGGCACATCTATTTGAATTAAGCTTCAAACTCTGTCAAAAGAGCCTGTGAATTTAGGGTGTGGAGAAGCAGAAAGAGGGCTGCTTTATACTAGAGCATGAGTGTTTTAGTCAAATGGTGCAAATCATCCTAAACTCCTTTGTAGGAAGATGTGTAAAATTCAAAGTGACAAAAAATAAAAATAAATTAAACTTATAATGCTACTTTTCAAACCTTAAACCTTATTTAGTTTAGAATCGTTATTCTCCATTTTAAATTGATCTCGAGTATGAATGTAAACTCTTTGAGAAAACTAATAACTGAATTCAACATTGTTTTGGGGGCGCTTACTGCCATCTTACCTTCACTATCTTTTACTTCAGTCTCTTAAGAATAAAATTTCACGCCCAGGGAGAGATCATCTTAAAGTATTCTTTTGAAGCACAATGCACTATTCTTTGGGCTAATTTTTCAAAGAGTAAACTTTAAGCTTTGAGAATGTGTTAATACAGTGAAAGGATCTCAGAGGGGAATTTTGCAGATCTGTTTATGTGTAAAGCGCAGACTTCAGAAAAACGCTTTCATTTAGTCCTCTATTTAGCAAGCAGGATTTTCACAGCATTCTTTCTTTTTTTTTTTTTTTTGTCCCTCTTTATTTTTGTTCTGTTAGCATTCCCTTGAAGCCTTGGTACTGTTTTTGTGGAGTGTTTCTAATGTGAGTGTAGTATGAAGTATGCTAAGGAAGAAAGAAGTCTGTGAATTCACATCCTGTAGGGAGGCAGCTCAGATGGATAAAACTATTTAATTCAGAATCTGAATTAAGGTAGTAACACAGGAGCCACACAATCCAGGCGTATGCCTCAAATTGTGGGAACAGTGGAATCTCTAAATCGGACATTTAGGAACACAAACAAAAAATTAGCTAAGGAAGGCTAAACTCACCTTCCAGAATGATAAGCTTCATGTAGCTGCCGTATAATCCAGTTCATTGGTTTGGTGTATAAACTCAGGGAACTCTCTTAACCTCCAGATTATGACCAGTCTGCCATCTGCAAATGGAGAGACTATTTTTTTTTCTTTCTTCCAGAGTTCTCTTCTTCCTGTGAAAAGGACAAGTTCTGACTCAATCCAGCAATTCAGGGGTAGGTACCAACAGCTCAAAGAGAAAAATATAAACCCAAAGGACTGCTGAGGATTCTGAAATCCGATCATCCTGCAGGAGGGTCCAGGCTGTTCTCTATGATGTGGCTGCTACACTCAGTTGAGCTGAGCACTTGGGTGGTCCTTGCGGAAGGACTGCAGAAGCTCAGGCAGACACCACCTTGAATCAGGTGAGCAGGAAGCCTCAAGGTTCTGTGCCCGCGGCAGGATGGGTTACGGTGTCTGATGTGCATCACTCTTGTGGTGTTTCCTTGGGGGAGGAGAATGTTCCTTTTACCAAAGTCAGTCTGAGCCACTGTTAGGCTGCTCTTTGAACATACCTGAGATATCCATGCTCCCCAAGCCACGTGTCCTCAGCTTCAGGACCCTGGGTAGTGGTGGGAGGAGGGCTGCATGTGGTTCTGCCATCGTTCCTGTGCTGCGTCTGCAATGGGCTGCCCCACCCTTGGTGGTGACTCTAGGAAGCCTGCAGAGACTCGCCAGTGGCTTAGCCCCTGGTGTCCCTCACGGACTGCTCAATTTATTTGAAGCTACTTCAGTCCATCAGAAATATTCTAACAGTCTCTAACCTTAACAGAAAAGGGTTAGGATCTCAAGCCTCTTTGTTTTAGAAAGTTCTTCGCCTCCTGTGCAATTTTTAAACTCCGTCTCCAGAAACTCTCTAGCATTTTATAACAAGAGAGTATTGGTAGATCTGTTGGACTATTGTACTTTCCTGTGGAGTCAGAATGCTAGAATTTAGAGGAAGAGGGAATCGGTCTGCTTGCCTTAAGGTTGAGGGAGGGCACACATGGTTGTCCCACTTCAAAAAAGTTCTGCTTCATGATGGATGTCTTTTGTTTCTGCTGGTATAAGGGAAAACCAAAACAAAACAGCAAAATGGTAGGAAGCAATTACCTGAAAGTTTATTTTATCTTAAAATTAAAAAAAAGAGACAACACAAAAAACTGCCTCAAGTTTGCCCTTACCAGGTGCCTTTAGTTAAAATAATTACGTAGGAATGTGTTTCAACATAACATTGATATCCAACAACCTCCACATTTTATATAAGTGACATTTCTTACAAAATGCCAGCCTGTAGGTATTTATTATCCTAAGAGAAGCTTCTTTATCTTCCTGCAGCTTCACAACTGCTAAGTCTACTTCCACAAGAATTCTTGTTCCTCATCTGTGATTTGGGTCTCTTCTCACCTTTAGGAAGGTTACATTTCATGCTTTCAGGTTGGGCTTTGAAAAGTTACCTCCTGATTGAGGAATGAACTAAAAATTACATTTCTAGGTTAGCAGGAAAGCTGGTACTTTCTTCTTAATGCAGCTAAAGGGTCTCCTTGAATATGCATTCATGGCATTTCTGTTAACCACTTGATACCCAATAAATTGGGGTACACGTTATGCTAAATTGAAGCTGAAGCCATATTTAAATGTGAATGCATAGTGGCCTTTAGCAGAAACTAGGGCAAAATACAGAAAAATAAGAAATACTATGGCTTTAAAATAAACTACATATACGTACCTATATGTATAGCTGCGTGTGTGTGTTTATTTAAAAGTACTTGTGAGAAAGTGACCTCATCTCCCAAGAAAAGCTTGGATACAAACGTCTCTGCAAGTCCTCACACCACGACAATTCTATGAAAAGAAAATCCCCAAATCTCACTTTAGTGTCTCAGTAGGATTTTTTTTTAAATTGACCGTAAGAGTGCCTCTTTTGATGATCATTCGTTTTCGTTTTTCTTGTCTAAATTTAAGCCTTTATTGTTTCCAGGTTCTCCTGGGTATAAACTGACATGACTTTCATTTCACCTCCCGAGATCACTTGGTGAGGAGGGAGAGAGGGCTGCTGACAGAAACGAAGACGGCTTTGAACTTTTCCTCCATCTCCAGGTCAGGCTCCCCTCTCCAACCCACTGCACGCAACCTCCAGACTTAAAAGCCAATGGCTTAAAATAACTGGCCAGCTGGACCAACTTCACATCCTATAGAAGCCAACAAGCCTGCACCAGGAGTTCTGGTTCTAACATATTCTGCCGCCAGTCAGTGTGCAGACTGGGTCTTGCCCTGTGTCTCATTTGACTTCTTTCAACATTGGTTTTCTTACCTTCGTGGGAGGCGGTAGGATTTTTCCAGTTCTAAAACACTGCAATATTTAACCATCTGAATAGTCTGCCCAGGTGCCAGTAGCTGAGAAATCCTTTCTTTCTGCCATACAGATTAAGTCATATTCAGGCAAAAATCCACTAATTTTGCTTGGATAAGTGGTCCCCCTGGCCAAGGGGAGGGCTGTTACCTGAGGGACCAATGTGTGTAACTTTCCTAGGCACTCGCCCTGCTTTTGCTAAATGTAGAGAAAACTCTCCTTAGCGGAGTAACTCCCAGGCACGAAGGTGTGCAAGACAAGGAACCCCGAGCAGGGCCACCACTTTCCCAGTCCTGTGCTTGGAGGCCCTGCCTCCTGCCCTTCTGCTCAGGAAGCAGCTGAAAACACCAGGCTGTGCTCATATGTCTCAGCCCAACCGACCCGGGTGATGGGCAGATTGTGGTCTGTACCCCAGGAGGACTGTGCTTGCTGGTGGGCTGGTCCAAGGCTCTCTCTTGGCCGATAGAAACATGAGACAGAGTTGGGGTTTGGAAGCAGGAAAAAAAGCAAGGGGAAATGCACAGAGGAGGATTAAATAGTCATAATCCTGCAGCTCCCAGTTAGGGGTCCACGTGGCTTGGCGATAGGGTGGAATTAAAGCATGGACTTCATTCTGAGCAGCCTTCCCAGGGCGGGCTCGGATTCCTGTAAACATAGGAGACTATATTCAGTATTGTATAATAACTTATAATGGAAAATAATCGGAAAATGTGTGTGTGTGTGTATATATATATATATATATATATATATATATGAATAAATCTCTTTGCTGTACACCAGAAACTAACACTAACTGTAAATCAACTATACTTCATTAGAAAAAATAACCAGATGATGCCCAAGGTCCTTTCCATTAAAAAAAATATTCCGTAGTAATTCTACTACGGAATTACTAGTTTTTTGTTTTTGGTCTCTCAGTCTCTCACTGATGTGACGTAATCACCCTTTCATTGTAACACTGATGTTAAACATATTCATCCCAGCTGTTAGATTTTTAAAATACTGTGTTCAGTGATATAGCCAAACACATTTTCTTATGTCTAAGAGGTATTTGTTATACTCAGGATGTTGGCATTATATGGTAAATATTTAAACGTAATCCTTTTTTTAAGTTGTTCTGTCATATGTTAGCCATTATCATAATTCATTGAGCTCCATGGAGGGGCTAGATGTGCCAGTAGCAAGACAATAGTTGGGATTTACACTCTGTTGGAATTGTAGATTAGAGGCAGATCAGGAATGGAAATAAAGATGTGGGTCACACAAATATGGCCTCTAGAGGATGACTGAGAACTGAGCAGAGAGGCTTATCAGAGGCTGGCAGCATCGTTGTCCTACAAAGGCTGTAGAGACAATACCAAGCTTTTTAAGGAAATGGTTCAGTAATCATGAAGAAGCCAGAAATGGTATTCTAAGCAAAGGTTTGTTATGGAATTGGCAAGTTGAAAAGAGCAAGGGATTTAAAAATGGATACAGTGAATAGCATCCTTAATCACAATAAGATGTATAGCTTGGGGAGGTAATGTAACACACTGAGGCCTGATGCCCTCAAATGCAAATGGGCATGATATATTATCAAGTAATTATGTAGATGAAGGTGATTAATAAGGAATGCCTACCAAAGATAAATTTATTATTATTTTAATACCTGTGGTGAATCTATGTTTCAGAGTTTAGAATAATCTTCATTTCCAATCCTCTATAATCCTCTTAACCTAATTCACACTTGTCAAACAGTAAATCTCAATTTTCTGTTGGAACAATACGGCATACGTAATAGGTTAGTGAGTGTTGGACACTGAGTGAATAAAATGGATGAAGCACAACTTCAGGATAAAAGCAGTAATAATGGCTTTCAAAAATCAAATAATGTTAAATTCAGGACGCAGCTTTCGGGCACAAGTTTAAAAATATCTAATATGTGTATTTATTATAAGGAAGAAGGTAAAGAGTGACAAATAGGTGTCTCTAACATGATAAATTGTTTCACACACACACACACACACACACACACACATATGCACATACTCTGTATTCATACAAAAAGAAAGAAAGTAGATTAAACAAGAAGTACAGAGTCACAGCATGCATGTGACAGTGTCTAGAACATCCCAAGGTCCTGTGAATATCTGAGGATTACAGGCTTTCTCTCTGCTCCTAGATCTTCTATAGTTAAAGATAATTTCGGTGTCAACTGAATGATCCGACTGCATGGCTTCTAAGGGACAGTATAAATCATGCTTTCCTGTTCTTTGCATACCTCATTTTTTTTTTTTAATATTAAAAAGTGGACATCTTAGATAATATATTTTAACAACATGAATATTGATTCCCACCCCCCCACCCCCTCAGGGCTTGTTGTCATTTGCTTATGTATTTGTCTTGTGACCTGAATAGACTATTTCCGTGAAGTCTATTTCCTGCTCAGTGTGAAGTGTCTGTACTCACTCACTGTGGGCTCAGCCTTGGACATGTGGACAGGACCCAGAGATGATGGACGTTTTGGAGGGCTCCCTGTATCTGTCTCTTTCCCTGGTCTCTCTGCTAAGCTGTCTGCCACTTTTGGTATCACACTCAGCTCTTAGGCCCCCGCTAATCCTGACTGCTTACTGCTTTCAACAATCCTAGGGCATAAATTGCTCTGCAGACTAATATGATTAAACCTCCTGGGCCCCTTTACAGAGCTTTTTTTTTTTTTTTTTTTTTTTTTTTGCGGTACACGGGCCTCTCACTGCTGCGGCCTCTCCCGCTGCGGAGCACAGGCTCCGGACTCGCAGGCTCAGCGGCCATGGCCCATGGGCCCAGCCGCTCCGCGGCACGTGGGATCCTCCCGGACCAGGGCACGAACCCGCGCCCCCTGCATCGGCAGACGGACTCCCAACCACTGCGCCACCAGGGAAGCCCTCCAGGGCTCTTTTTGAGGCCAGTCCCTGGGACTTGTTCTGACATATCTTCCCGGCTCTTTCCTTGGCTGGTTCTTTCTGGTAAACTAGCTGGACTACTGTTTAGCTCCTTGCTGTCATGGGGTGACTGGCTTCTTAATTGCTTACCACCAGAATCTCCTCTGTTTTTGAGAAAGTCTTTAGGCTTGAATCTCCCTACATTCTGTCCTGAATAACAGCAATTTCTTTGGGGAGAACTTCTGATCTTCCTATTACGTTGGCCTGTCTCTCTCTCCCCTTCAGCAAAGTGTGTCTGAGCCACTTCTTCAGAGCTAGGGGCTGGGACAGTGGCCTGCTTCTCCCGGGATGACATCCCAGCTCTCTGAGCTGGTCTCTGTGTGGAGGCGATCATCTGTGATCTTCTTGGCTCACCTCTCCTGCTGTGGGACCTCTACCCTAAAAGGAACTGGAACAATGGCTATTGGAGCTGCAGCTTTTTGCACATGGGGTAGAGTCTCTGTCCTGTGGGACAGTGGGTGCAGGAAAAGAGTCCCCAACCTCTTTCCAACCTCCACAGGTTAGCAGGAATGGAACAAGAAATGGTACTATTTTTGTCTTTCAGTACTATAAGCCGTTTCCCTTCATCTCTTCTAAAAATTGAAACATTTTCTGCATAAGACAATTAGTTCTTGCTAACTATCTGTCAAGCGGGTGAACAAAAATGTCAGCCATAATTATGTTCACAGCTCCAGCTTTGGCATTTAAGTTAATCTGGAAAACACTCACTTTCCTAGGAGATACTATGTAGCCGGGACTAAGATTCAACCATGGCTCACTGTCAGGTTTTGTTCTGCTTAAGTTTTAGCTAAGAGTGTTACTTGACAACTGTGAATGTGTTGCTTTGCCCTGTGTCTACGAGAGGGAAGCTTTACAGAGCCTAACATTTGTCGGGTGAAGCTGTTATCAGAGGAATCTATTTTTAGGTCCTGTTCATAACTCCATAGTTAAGTTTTCAGGTGTTGTCATTAATATTCTGTCTCCTGTTTCCACAGAGAAGAGTTTAAGGATTGTTTCCTTAAATTGAGAAAATCAATGTGTCCCATAAATACAAGCAATATGGGGAAAATCAGCAATTTGTTCAGTTATTTACAAATGATTTATTGAATCTTTACTACATGATAGTCCATGTGCTAGGAACTGGGGATCCAGTCATGAGTAAAATCCAGATCTGACCAGTATTCTTGATAGAGCTTATAGGCTAGTGGCCACACAGACATTAGTAAAAAATATAACACACAAATAAATCTTTTTCTGGAAATACAGGAACTATGAGAGTTAACTGGTTTACATCTTCACACAAGATTTTTAAGTCCCATCTGTATCTTCCATAATAGTGTAAGATAATTTCAAATTACCCCTCTTGGTTGCTAAATTAAATTTCATATGGTAATATATGTGATGTACGTACAAAATGCCTGGCATTTAGTAGGTGAGCCACAAATGTCAGTTTTCTTCCAACTCCTCGTTCCTTTGCCACAAAGGAAAGGAAAATTCTGATGTTCTATCTGAGATACTGCTTAGTTCTGGCTATTTCTAAAATTCTTCATGATGTCCAGCTTTTCAACGGAGACTCTTTCAGCTTTGTCATGAAGAGGCTAGTGTGTAATTTATATTACCCTCTGTGTTGGAAATGCCTGATGGCTTCATTTTAATGTTACTGAGACAGAGATCTTCTTTTCTCATGCTTAAAAAGAGTCCTTGTAATAGTGTTACTTAAACTGGAATTTACCCTGGAGAGTCAGTAGACATATTTTGTGGGGAGTCAGGAAGTCTTTACAATAGTTAAAATTCTATATTGAAATTGTATCTATCTGTATCTATATCTATCTTTCTACCATCATCAACATCATCATAATCTATCATCTATTAATATGTATATGTGTGTGTATCTATATCCATCTTCCTGTACGTCTTTATGTCCTAGATCATTCAGGTAACCTGAATTTGTGTTCATGATCACATTGATGCCAAAGGATCACCTAAATTTCTCAGCTTTAACTTTTAATGTATTTTCTCACCCAGGATCTATGGCTCTGTGGGTCTTTTCTATCTCTTTATCCTTGCACTTTACTTCCTTTTATCCTGTGTTTTGTTAACTTTTGCTATGTGAGAATATTATTGCTCGGGGGGAAGATTGTGTTTGAGTGTGTGTATGTACCCTCCTGTGCACACATTTCATGTGTGGATGTTATATAAGGAACACATATTTGTTTACTGGATGGATGTGGATGTCCTTTACTTCACACTATGCTGGAGAAACATGACCGGTGGACCACACTATGGAATCTGTTAAGACTGAATAGCCTAGTCTTTGGGACATAAACTATTAAGGTGGTCTGATTCAGTGTGTAGAGCATTTTCTCTTGAACAGAATGGATGATCTTTCCTCCTCTGTCTGATCAAGGGTGGATGTTAATCTTGAAGCTACTCTTGCACAGAGGAGAGGATGAGAGCAGGAGAGGGGATGTGGGATGAGTGGAGAAATGTCCTCTGTCGTTTGGGCTGCTGGATAGTTAGGCAGGACTCTAAGCCACAGCGACACATGAGGGCATTCCTAAGAGCAGGGGGTCATTTTTGTCCAGTTGTTGGATAGAACCAAGAAGCAGTGCAAAAGGGACCTCATGGGCTCTAGGAAGAGCCATAACTACTACCACACTCAGCAATCCCATCA